CATTGACTGCAATCATCTCAGGAGTACCAATCAACTGGTCACGGTACATCCACAATGAACTCCTAAAATATATAAAGAAAGTTCACACGGGAATGGGAGAAGATGGTACCCTACCACTACTGGGATACGAGTTTATGATAGGGGAACTGCTCAAGAGGAAAGGAATTGTAGGATCCATCAAGGAAGAAACAACCTGGAGAAAATTTCTCTATCAAACTTCAAAGGCAGGGGCTCCACAAATTCAGAGAATAGAGGACTCCTTCATCTCCAACGAGCCCCTTCAAATCACCCTTGACAGGATCAAAACCAAGACTGCCAAGAGAATCAGATCAGGATGCCAAGAAGAAAAATCAAAGAAACCAAGAATAGCAACAAGAAATCTACAGGCCGAAAGGGAAGAAGCTGCTTCTTCCTTTCACACAAGTCAAGAAGAAGCAGTGGCCTCCCTTCTTGCCCCGGTCAACGAAGAAGCAGTGGTCACCCCTTTAGCAATCATTCAAGAAGAAGAAGCAGAGATGTCTGCTGCTTACTCAAACGCAAGTAATGATTCTCAAATTCCTCTCTCTATACTCCTTCCCAAAATCACAAAAAGGGATCAACAAGAGGAGCAGTTGGCTCTCCAAGCAACAGAGCAGATCACTCAACCCAATGAGCAGGTGGCTCCCTCTGAAGCTGAGCAGGCCCCTTCATCTCCAACAGTGGCCTCACGTCACCTAACTCCATTGGAGCAGTTGGATGAAGAATTTGCCAGAGTCAAGGCATGGAGATCATGGAAGCTGTCAAGGGCTCTACATCAAGTTGAAACAATCGCCTACTTCATTGCAGAGGAAGACTTTGCAGTAGATTGGCTTGGAACTGATGACATGGCAGATGCAACACGGCTACTCAAAATCACCCAAGTCTATGCAATCAAAAGGAAGCAACTCACTGCCAAAGATGCTATTGAAGAATCAAGTGATAATGATCTGGATGATGATGATGCTGACGATGCACCAAAGGGACCTCCTAGCTCAAGAGGTAAGCAAATCATACATTCCTCCTCTTCAAGTGATTTAGATCTCAGGAAAGCTCTTTAGAAATCCAGAATGGAAACTCAAGGAGGAGGAGAGTCCTCCAAAGCACCCCAAGAGCAGTTGGCTGCTACTCTCCCACAAGGGACCCAACTGCTGGACCTCAACTTGGAACCTCACCAAGAAGAAAACACAGAATATGCAACTACGACTTCGGAGAACGCCAAACATCAACTTCAAACTGATGGAGCTGAAGACACACCAACACTAGCAAAGGTCTTCATCAATGAACGAAGAGCAACAATCAAACTTGTCAGCAATGCTGAACTGAGACTCCACAAGCGGTTGATCAAAATGCAAAGGCATTTTGATAAATTTCTGGAAGCCAGATTTGCAGAAGTTCACTGCCACATCAAGAGTAATCTCATGATCCAACAAGTGTTCAACTCAGAACAAAAGGCCCAGCTAAAGATGCAGATTTCCCAGCAGCCTGCCCAGCTAGAAGACATCCACAACGAACTAGCAACTCAAAGAGCTAAGGACTGGGAACTTGAGCTATAGATTCAGACTCTACTCAAGCAACTACATGATCAAGAGCAAGCAGGAGCACCTCTACATTCTCTGCCACCTAACATCGAAAAGGCTCTCCAACAAGTCAATGCACATGAGACCTACATCAATACTCAACAAGGTCAGGCAGAAGCAATCCAGAGAGGGCTCCAGGACCTTCAAGCTCTATGCTTAGAGCTACAAGGTCAGCTTCAAGCACTCCAGCAACAGACAAATGCAATCCAGCCCTCTGCCCAAGTAGAAGCAGAGCCCTCTGCCCGGGTACTTTCTAACTCTACCTTACCAACTAACCTGGAGCATGCCCTTCAAACAATCCAGGTGCATGAGAGGTTCCTACACTATCTCAAGACCAAGGAGTTGCCTGCCATCCTAAGTCTCTCCAAGAAGTTGGTCGTCAAACAAGTGGAGCACTCAGAAGCTATAGGGAAGACTAGAGCAGATGTTGTTGATCATCTAGGCAGGTTACACGCAGCTACTCAAGAAGCTCTTCAAAAGCAAGGAGATGAACTCAAGAAACTGGGCCAACACCAACAAGCGACAACTCAACAACTTCACAAGCTTGACAAGGAAATCAAAGAAGAGGTCAAGGTAGATGTCACTGATCTTCGAAACTTAGTCACTTCACTTGCCATCGAAGTCAACTACCTCCATCCAACCAGAAGAAGACAAATTGAGGTTGACTCTGACCCAGAGATAGAGGCACTATTCAAAGAAAGTGAGACCCCTGCTGATGCCAAAAAGGGGGAAAGAACACCACGAGCAGGCCCCTCATCCACAAGGTCTCTAGCAGCCAAGAAAGCAGCGGAAACTAGGAAGAAGAACAAGCTCTACAAGGAAGAAGCAGAAATCAGAAGAAGAAAAGCAGAAGAGGCCAAAGCCAAGGAAGAAGCCAAGAAGAAACAAGAAGAAGACAAGCAAGAGTAGGCTAGATCTTAAAGTCCGAAAAAGACTATAAACTATTGTACTCTAGAAAGTAGAACACTGTACAAAAATTTCAAAGAAAATCAATAAAAATGTTTGTTACTTGTGTTGTATAGTTGTGGCATCATCAAAAAGGGGGAAATTGTTAGTACCCAATTTGATAAGATTTTGATGATGCCACTATACTAAGCACGTGTACATTGTGTCGCATTTTGTTCTAGTATTTACGTGACAAATTAAATGTACAACTTTTGAGTCTAAGAAATATTACCGGAAAAGTAAAAATGTAATCAGGTAAATTTTCTTTACCTTAATAGGATATTTGAATCCTACCGGCAAATACTATTTGACTCAAAAATTATTCGTATGTCACATTTTTAGATAAAAGAAACTAGAAGTATCAAATGAATGATTAGAGACAAACATTGACCGACATTTAATGCCAAATACGTACTGGGTCCGAAGTCATGTACATACACATGGGACTGCAGTTTGAAGTGAAGCTCCAGCGGGTGAATTATTCAAGATAAATGCATCAGTCTGAATTAAAGCTCCAGCACAAGAAGACGAATGTACAATTTGTCCTTGTCAGAATTTCAACGTCAAAGATTAATCCATCCTAACCAACAGATGAGATTAATTCAAGGGAGATGCCTATAAATATAGGCTGAAACGAAAGTTTCTAACCAAGCGCTTGAGCATCCAAAGAGAGAATTTCAATCACGATCTTTTACGAGATATCTAGCAAAAGAGAAAGTGCTATTCTAAACTTTACTCTCTGCTTGGACTCGTGCTTCACTAAACTTCCAGTTCACAAAGATTTTCATTGCTAAATCATAGAAGTTCAGTTCCTAGTTGGAGGTTAGAACTTTCTTGTAACAAATCACATATTGCTGTAAACACTTAGGAGAATAGTTGTTCGGATCCTATAGTGTAAGTAGATAGATAGAGTACCTTTTGATCCCCACTGGGTCATTAGAGAAAAGTCTAAGGACTGAGTAACTTTGAGTGGTGCTATACTCATCGTGAAAAACCTTCAATCTATGCCTAAGTGTTGTAAAGGCTAGATTGGCACTAAGTGTATCGGGCTTAATACTTTAGTGAAATCCATCTGAAAGAGGGTGGGACTGGATGTAGGAGGATTACACCACCTTTGAACTAGGATATATCGTGTGTTGAATCATTTCAGTCAACAAAGCACACACCAAACACTTCTCACATAAAGATTGTAGTCTGCCGGCAGAATCCTAAGCAGTTGTCTTAATTGACCCAACTGCTTATCCTACTTCTTAATTACTCACTTTCTTTGAGACCGGATTCATACCTATAACGTGCACCAACAACATCTAAAAGGATCACTCTTTCAGTTCTCTGAAATTCATTTTCTAAGTACAACAGGTGCCTCAGCAGTTCCCTGGAATCCACCCAACTGTTGAGCCCTCTGCTCATATATGTACGTGTTTCATGTCACTGTCTCAAACATCACCAGATTGTCAATACCCCATCAAGAAGTTTGCTTAACCCAATAAGTTTTTTGACCCGAGCAGGTGCCTCAGCAGTTCCCTCATATTCACCCAACTGTCGAGCCCACTGCTTCAGCAAAAAGCTAGTCTCCCCTCTTTTAAGCATACTTACCAAAAGACCACACCATACTCATCAAACAACTATCTCTACCTCCATCATACACTTTGCATTTCCTGAGCAGTTGCCTCAGCAGTTCCTTGCTCTTAGCCACCTGTTAAGCCAACTGCTAGCATTCTAAGCCAAACACTCTCCAAGCTAGAAAGTGGCTAAACACTCATTACTCAAAGGGTAAAGACTTCCGCTGTGCATCTATAAAATTCACAAAAGTTTATAGATTAACTCTTTTAGAGGGAAAACTTTCAAAAGTCGAAAAAGATTTAAAAGTCTATTCACCCCCCCCCCCCCCTCTAGACTTTTACCCTATCCGGGACCATCATAATTCGATTCAGTTATGACAACAAATCAAGAAGGAAAAAAGTAAGGATGAAAACTTTTTTGTAGAAACACAATTCAACCGGAAAAGATCATATAAAAATTAAATGAAAAAATAAATATGTTGTATACAAAATTCTGAAGCACGGGTGTTGCCAAGAGAGAAATAAGTAATAAATGATTCACAATACTCCTTTCGATGTTATATTCCTAGTTTAATATTGGTATTTTGCATTCTCTATGTATGTGGGTGTAAAAACAATAGAAAGTATTAGCAATATCACACTCATATGTCCATATATTTATAAAAAGTAGATTCATACCTCATTGAGACATAATATCAAACACTTGATAGATGCAAAGGAAAGCCTATTTTATTTTTAATTTACAGACTAAAAATTTACATTATAATTGAACCAGAAACTAATTATTTCCATTAAAAACAAATTAAAGGTGAATCAACTTGAAATTAAAATGAACTCTTCAATAAAAAAATCAGAAACAACTAGTACTAAGACTAAGAAAACTGATTTTGAAACTTACCGTTAATTGCTTGTTCGAGTTCGTGGATTGATTGAGATTTATGTTTGTTGATCTGGAACTTCTCTCATTGTCGACCGGTCATCATTGTCTTCTACGATGATATACTTGGCGGACGCACTTGGTGAGCAGAGCAATTGCGACTGGAATGACGGAATGGAAGCGTAGAATATGAGAGGGGTTTTTCATTTAATAAAAAAAGGATTAAAGTTGTTAATATTTACCTAATGCCATTAATGAGAGACGTATAGGTTGAGCTGATCTAACAGCTGGGAGAGCTTCTCACTTTTCAGCCTAATTATAACTTCTCATGGGATCTTTTCTCTTTTTTTTTGCCAAGGAAAATCTGCCGGATTTTATTAAAAATGGGCAAAACACATACAAAAACGAGGTTGGCCAAAACCTCAGAAAGGGCATTCCCTTTCAACAAAGTGAAAACAAGTTAAATAAAAATATATGAAACTGACATCTCATCCAACTTGATAACCCCACTACGCTGAGCAGGTAAAGAATCACCCGGCTTCCAACGAAAGCTATTCTGAAAGCCCAACTTAGCTACCAACCCAGCAGCCCGATTTGTTTGGACCGGGGCTAACAGCCATTCTGGAAAGATGTTTAATCGGTCCGCCACATCCGCACCGACACCCAACAAATCCAAACAGGCAACATCCACTTCGAAAAAAGGCAACTGAAGAGATTCAATCCATCGCAACGCCATTTCGAGAGCTTTTCCTTCCAACCCTGACGAACCACTCATCGGAAATCCTTCCGCCGCCACAGCAGCTCCAGCGTGATCTCTCAGAAGGAAGCCGGATAATGATTTCCCGTTCTGACGAAACCCCGCCCAATTCAGCTTCAGCTTCCCCCTACAAGGCTTGACCCAACTGACAGCTCGAGGTTTCCTTCGTCCAAAGCTTTGAGGTAATAAGCCATTCTCCTTCAATCTATCCCCTCCCCTAAGTTTATCATGCGCCATAGCCCAAGAAATCATGAATATACAAATACGGTTTATAACCCCCTCCCTGTCAGGAGAGGATTCAGACCAAATCGCCTCCCAGTAAGACTTCCAAAGATGCCATGTGATAACTCCTGGTAATACTGCTTTGTAAACATTGTCCAAAGATTTTCCTTTCACTGATATCCACCACTTCATCAATTCAAGTTTAATTTGATTTACCTGTTTCCCAGATTTCAGTAATGCATTATCAAAGAACACCCAGATTGATCTAGCAAAAGAGGATGAGAGCAGAATGTGGTCCTGATAAGCACTTTCCTTCTTACAAAATGGGCACCTGGTCGGAAAAACTGCTGCAAACTTAGCCAAATTGTATGGAAATGGTAGACATCCCTGCCACATTTTCCATAAGAAAACTTTAATTTTGGGCACCTGTTTATGATGCCAAATATTTGAAGTTGAAAGAGTTCTCCCCCTTCCCGGCCAAAGTGCCAAGTATGCTGATTTAGCGGTGAACTCCCCCCCAGTTGTAAGCTTCCAACTCATGGAATTTGGCCCACGGTCCACAAATTGGTCTGCCTCCTCATGAATTTGGCAGATCCTTCTCCAAACTGGAGAATCAGTGGGCTTAATTCCCCCTAAGCTACGTTGACCATATTTCTTTTTCATAATCTGAGTCCAAATCGACTCACCAGTCTGAAACTCCCACCATAATTTCATGGCCGAGATCTTCTGCATATCCTCCAAAGACCGGATACCAATCCCACCAGCTTCAATAGGTCTGCTCAACTTTTTAAGACTGGCCCAGTGATATTTGGACCTATTATTTTGAGACCCCCAAAAGAAATTTTCTACCTTTCTGTTAATCAAATTCTTAACAGAAGCTGGCAGATTAGTAACAGCAAAAACATGAATAGGTAGAGAGTTTAGGACATGTTTAATTAAAGTAAGCCTGCCTCCCTGAGATAGTGTTTTCTGTCTCCACATATTTAACTTATTATCAAATGCCTCCAAAAGCTCCTTGCAATGTGATAGTCTTGTTAAACCTTTGTGTATCTGTATCCCCAGGTATTTAAAAGGCAGCTTAGAAGCCTTCATACCAAGCTCATGTTGAACATGAGTAATCTGGCCTGTTGTTGCATGTTTACCCATCACAAAACAACTTTTATTCTTATTAATCATCTGCCCAGATGCCTCTTGATATAATTGGACGAATTTATTAAACCTTCTAATAGATCTCGAAGACCCATTTAGAAAAACCATTAGGTCGTCCGCAAATGCCAGATGAGAGATGCCAGAACCCCTACCCATATTGAAAGCTTCAAGTTCTCTCTTATTAATCAGATGGTTAATTCCTCTAGAGAACGCTTCCGACATTACAATAAATAATAGAGGGGAAAGCGGATCTCCTTGCTTCACTCCTCTATGAGGCTGGAAGTAGCCATGGGGAATACCATTAATAATGATAGAAATAAAAGTAGCTTTGAGATTTCCCATTATTAGCTTTCTGACATGAAGCGAGAAACCAAACTTGGCCAAAATAGCATCTAAAAAACTCCACGCCACCCTATCAAACGCCTTAGCCAATTGGGTGGGGCCTCCAATATTAGACAATTCACAAAGAAGCAAAATAGGGCAATGATCCGAGGGAGTTTTACTTGAGTGTTGTATACATATTGCATCAAATGTTAACAAAAACTCCTGATTCGCCAAATAACGATCCAGTCTCTCCCATAACCTGCCATTAGACCGGACTCCAGTCCACGTGTAAACTGGACCAATAGTCTGAATTTGCTCAAGCTCACAATCATCAATGCAATCCCGGAAATCTTACATATCAGGTATTGAGGGGTGGGAAAAGGCTTGGACTCGGGTCGGGCCACCCGGCCCGTGGACCGGCCCGGCCCGCTACTGTGCGGGACCGGGACCGGCCCGGTTCTCGGGTCCGGGTCCGGGTCGGGCCTAGGCCCGGGGGTAGGGGCGGGTCCGGGCTCGGGTCTGAATTTTGGTGAACCGGCCCGGCCGGGTCGGGCCCGGGCCAAATTGATTTTTTTTTTAATTTTTTTTTCATTTTTGGGCTTCCACCCGGGTTGGGCTTGATGGGTAGGACCGTAGGATGGGTTTGGGGGGGTTTGGGAGGGGGGGGGGGGGGGGTTAGGAAAGCAAAAAAAATAAAAAAAAAAAAAAATCCAACCCGGAGGCCCGGCCCGGCCCGGGCCCGGACCCGGACCGGACCCGGTGGCTACCCGGGCCGGTCCCGGGTCCACCATTCTTGAACCGCCGGCCCGGCCGGGCCTAGGCCCGACCCGGACCCAGCCCGGACCCGAGTCCACCCCTAGGTGGGAAGGCCCTTTATATTCTGAGATGGAGGATACGATATTAAAATCGCCCCCTAGAACCCAAACCAAGTTATTAGTCTGGCTAAATTGAATCAAACCCTCCCACAGACCAGTTCTTTCCCCCTCGTGTGCAGACCATAAATAGGAAAGAAAATAAAAGAGAAATCCATAGGAATAAAATTAACTTTAACAAGTAAAGCTGGCCTTTATCAATAATTGAAAAAACATCAAAGACCCCAGTGTTCCACATAAGCCAAATCTTGTTTGAAGCTGACATAAATAGATTTGTGAACCCCAGACAATGTAAATAATGATCTCCTTTGTCCTGTCCCACCATTGGCTCAAAAATAGCTACAAAGTCAATGAGATAATGCCTAACAATTTCACGTAACCTCGGGAACGACGAAGCGAGGCCACGTAAGTTCCACGTAAGAAGCTTCATGAGGAAACACTTGGGGAGGGATCCGAAGTGCTCCTCTTAGCTAGTGGTGGACTCGGGCCGGGCCAACCGGCCCGGAACCGGACCGGCCCGCTACTGTGCGGGCCCGGACCGGCCCGGTTTGTCGGTTAGGTCACGGTTCGGGCCACCCGGCCCGGTCATGTAGCGGTTCGGGCCCGGGCTTATAATTTGGTGAACCGGCCCGGGCCTCAACGGTCACAAAAAAAAATTTTTTTTTTTAAAAAATTTGAAGGCTCTACTAGCCGTTGGGAGACCTCCCAAACGGCTCTATAGCCGTTGGGAGCATAGGAGGGGGGGTCTGGGGGGTTAGGTGGGGTGGGGGTGGGGGTGGGGTAATTGCTACATTTTTACATTTCTCATATTAGTTAATTGCTACATTTGTGCATTTCTCATATTAGTTAATTAGTTAATTGCTACATTTTTACATTTCTCATATTAGTTAATTAGTTAATTGCTACAATTTTACATTTCTCATATTAGTTAATTGCTACATATCTCATTAACGTAAAAAAAACTAGTTAATTTTTACATTTCTCATTTTAGTTAATTGCTACATATCTCATTAAAATAACAAAACTAGTTAGTTTTTACATTTCTCATATTAGTTAATTGCTAATATTTGTTCAATTTTAAAGATGGAGCGAGGTAGACATTCTGTAGATGTGGGTAATCTCCAACGCAATCGCAAGAGGGAGATTGCATCGACTCGATCTACTTCACGCAAAGGCAAAGGTAAAGCGCGGGCCGAGTCTTCTTTTCAAAGTCGAGATGATTTTGAAACGGATTACCAACGGCGAGATGGTATGATGATGTCCGACGAGGAACTACAACACCTATTGTCCCAAAATGATCCACGTTTTGCACAAGAACAACAATTCCCGACAACCATCGATGAAGAGGAGCTCGAGGATGACGATGGGGAGGAGGACGCGGGGGGCGACGGGACTCCGGATGATGAGCAAGAGGACGAGGGCCCTTCAACGACTACAACCAAAATTGGTAAGAAATCTAAATCTAGCAATGCCGATATCAACCGTTGCCGTGGAACAAGAATTCAGTGCGGCCGGCAACGTCCTAACCGATTTTAGAACGAGGTTGAGCCTGAGCTCTCTTGAGACACTAGTTTGCTTTCACGATTGGTTGAAGGCCCAACGAAGAACTCAAGAAATTACCATCACTCCCTCCCGCCACTTTATGGAGGAAACAACCGAAGGCGGAGAGTCCGATTGATTTTTTATTACAAAATGTATTACATTTTTTAAATTCATCCTAATTCTCAATTGTACTTCTTATTTGAAATAAATATACTTCAATTCGAATATAATATATTGTAATTGTAATAAGATTTATTCTAATTATATAATAATTAAAAAAAAAATTTTAATAGGCCCGGCCCGGCCCGTGAACCGGGCGGGTGACCCGAACCGAACCGGACCCGGGGTTATCCGGGCCGGTTCCGGGCCTGCCTTCCTAGAACCGAGGCCCGGTCGGGCCCAGGCCCGAACCGGCCCAAGTCCATTCTTACTCTTAGCGGCTAACCGAGTAGTTACCAATAGTGTAGGATAAACGTCTTTTATTTTCTTTCTTGACACCACACCCAAAGCTTCAGCCTTATTGTTCTCTACCATCTCTACTTTGTGCTGCAATTCCCCACACACCTCTTTCCACGCTTCCTTGGTTAGATCTTCTACAACAAAATTTTCCCCTTCAGAAACAAAACCCTCTTGTTCAATACTGATGTTATCTCCTTCCACCACCACATCACCTTCTTCCAAAGCAAACTGTCTACCAGAATAAACCACTCCATCTATCAAATTCAAACCTTGTCTCGAATCTCCATCAGCATTAGTATACCCCTCCTCCACCACAACCTTCCCCTCTACCTCTGCCAACTTGTTAATGGCCGTATCCTCCTCCTCTACCAACACAACTTCCCCTTCTTCCAACCCCTTCCCATCTTGTGGAGCTTCATCCTCCGTTAACTGACCCCCATTTTCTGTTGGCTTAGATGATTCAGGAATGTCCAGAACCATGACTTCAGAAACTTTATCCTTGCCCCTATTCTTCTTGGGTACTTGCACCCATTCCTCTAGTGCCTTTTGAAGATGTAGTGAGGCTTTATTTATAATTGGCTTTTGCAGAATAGTCTTGGCAGCCTCCACCCGAGGCTTGGATGTTCCACACTCCTGTTTGTTATGGCCCAGTCGATTACACTTCACACAATATGATGGAAAGTGTTCATATGTCACATTTTGAATAATTTCTTTGTTACCATTCACAATCGAAACCTTAGTAGGAATCTCCTGCAAAAGGTCTAATTCAACGCAAACCTTTGCCGTAGAGGGCCTTGTTAAATTTGCAGTTGCTGCATCAACTTTAAGAGGCTTTCCAATCATACCCGCTATTGAAAATAACGCACTCTTAGCATGCAAATGAATTGGAAGACCGTCAAACGTAATCCAAACCGGAACAATGGGAGACTCAACGTCCGGCTTGAAATCTGGGGTTCACCTCGTAACCCTCATCTTGAATCCATGAATACTCCAAAATTGCCTCATCCAGCAACGTTGGAAGTCATCTTCTGAAGAAAATTTTAGCAATATATGCCTCTGATCGAGAAGCCCCAAGTTAAATGATCCCTGGAAGCTGATTTTTTCAAACTCCATGCGAATTGTAGTCATGGCTGGCCGCCCTCTTGCAAACGAACCAACCAAGGACATCTTGTGATCTTCCGCTAAGCTTTCAACCTCTTCTTCAGAAAATTGGACTGCTGACAGACCTTTACATCGGAAAGGAGTTTTTAAGGGGATGTCTTTGTTCGCTGCAAGGACCTCAGCAAAAGATCGCACTGCCGCTCCCGGCCCACCTGCCGGAGCAGCCCATGCCGCCGCCGTTACCATATGTCGCTAGTTGCCGCCGGAGCAGCTCATGGGATCTTTTCTCACTCTCTCTATCTCTCTATATATAGGGAGTGAATCAGGTGAGAAGTGTCCTTAGGCTAAGAACTGCGAAGTCTAACTTATAGGCTAAAAATACAAACTTTTAACCAATAAATTATACTCCCTCCGTCCCGCTAACAATGGGACAAGGGAGAGTGACATGCAAATTAATAAAAAGTGGTTTATGTGGTTGATAATAAATTGATAAAGTAAGAATAAAGTAAGAATGATTTAGAGCCACACAAACTTTGCAAAATTTGGTATAGGACAATCTTAGTGGGACGGACCGATAAGGTAAAACGGGACAATCGTAGCGGGACGGAGGTAGTAACTTATAGATCCCCTCGAAAATAATTACGAAAATGCTACTGCGTCAAAATAACTCCAGAAACCTGGAATTTTTTTAAGCGGTGGCATTTCTGTAATTACGATGGAGAGCTTTATAAGTTATGATTTATTGGTTATAAGTTCCTATATCCAGTCTATAAGTTTGCTGCGTTGTAAGATTAGATGCAAATTCAAGGGCTGAATTTACTTCTCACTTCTCATCTTAAGGAGGACTTCTCACCTGATCTTCTCTCTCTCTCACCTGAGTTCCTACTGTAGCAGCGTGCCTTTTTTTAATTTAATCAATGAAATCTATCATTGATTTTACGCATACGGAAGGTAATCCCCAAAAAATCAGCACCCACCACTACAATTCCAATCACATGCACCTTTTTTTAGTAATTAAATTAAAAATTGAAAGATCAGGAGCTGCTTGTTATGCATACAAGTGGGTGGAGAAATTCAAACATCACCGTGCACGGATTAAAATCTGAGTTTTTAGCCATCAACAAAGCTTGAAATCACAGTTATACACTTGATTTTGAAAATTAACCACTTCCTAGTTAACCTCCCTTTTTCTGAACCTTAAAATATTAAAGTTATGTAATATGCATTATATATTGATAACAGTGTGCTTAGTTATGTTAGGACTTGTAATATACGTAGTATTAAGTTTTTATTAAGAACTCATCACAGGTAGAAATGTCTGCATATTAAGGTTACGAGATGTGCATATTAAGGTTGATGGATGTGCATATTAAGGGTACATGATGTGCATTATATATTTATAATGTCTCCATAACTTATATTAAAACTATATAGTGATAAAATATGTTGGCGCTGCATTTTAGCAGTTCATATATTGCTTTTATCAATTTGACATGTACACTTTAGAAGTTTTTATATTGCACTTCACTAAATAAGCTGATATGTGCATTTTAAAAGTTCATACTACATCTTATTTTTATGACAGCTGCATTTTAGTAGCTCATATGTTGCAATTTTCCTTATGATCTGATATGTGCATAATAGAAGTTTGTATATTGCATTTTAGTAAGGTGACATATGCATTGTACAAGATCATTTGATGCATCTTATAGTTATGGCATTTGCATGGTAGATTGAAGTGATATGCATATGGAATTCATGGTGTCACAAGCTGCATAATATGTGACAAACGTCTTCTAAATGGTAAAAGTTTTGCATACTAAATTACAAGAATTTTGCATGAACATGAAATTGATTACAAGTGCATTCATTCTTTAATTATTTTCAAAGTTCATATGTTGCATTGTACCATCATCACATTTGCATTTTTAAAAGTTCATATGAAGTCCATACATTGCATTTTATCATTATGACAAGTGCATTCATTCTTTAATTATTTTTAAAGTTCATATGTTGCATTGTACCGTCATCACATTTGCATTTTTAGAAGTTCATACGAAGTATTTTTTGCAATAAGATGACATGTGCATCTCAGAAGACCATATGCTACATCATATCGCTACAACATCTTTGAAATTCATACTGCATCTTATCGCTTTGGCTTCTGCATCTTAGTATTTCATATGTTGCATTTTATCATTGCGACATGAGCATTCAGAAGTTCATATATTGCATTTTAGTAAGATTACTTGTACACTTTAGAAGTTCATACTGCTTCTTATCGCAAAGACATCTGCATTGTATGCTCAACGGACATGCATATTAAATTCATGAGGTCACAAAATCCATAATTTTTCTGGCACACTAAGGTAGAAATATTTAAACATTTTTTTGCATAAATACGAAATTGATGAACTTCATGGAAAAATACGGAATACACACGAAATTGTGTGCATCGATATGAAAACAGAAATCGTTTCCTAAACATCAAAATGCTCAAGTATTTTGAGCGTGAACACCAGATTCCGTGGTGGCAGAAATGACTGCCTCATCATTCTAGTATACTCATATGACAAAGCAGTAATTTGAAAAGATAATCATGTGAAGAGTTTTTAAAAAGAGAGTACACTAAAATCACAAAAACTTTGCATAAACATGAAATTTTTGAATTGATATGAAAAACAAAACCAAATAAAAATCTGGTGTGCATATCAGATTCCATGGCGACGTCGGAATCCATGGCGTTCAAGAACTAATGTTCTCCCTGTACGTGTCTAAATCCATAATTCGAATAGAAGAACACTAATTAGCTTGTAAAAATTTGATATGGAGATTGAGATGGGGGTGGGGATGAAGAAGGAGATGGAGAGATGCTTTGATATGGATGAACCTGATAGGAGAAAATGAATGAACCGATTAGAATAGGTTATGGAATGAAAGGCAACATGAGATTTGTTCCAAAAATAAAATCAACTTAAAAGACTAATAAGCCCTTTGATGGGGTATTAACTCCTAGATTCTAGAGAGAAGGGAGAGCTAGAGAGAGAAGTGAATTGCATTAATGAATTTTGTGAACCCTTACAACTACTCCCAAGGGGAGTATTTATAGAGAAAATTAGGACTGGGCTCCCAAGTCTTGGGCTTGGGAGGCCCATTTACAACAGGGCCACTAATGGGCCGGATACAAAGTGTATAGAAATGATAGGTATAAAATCTTGTTCTAGAGGCTATCTATGGTCGACGAGGGCATGGCCGATGAGGGCATGGTCGACGAGGTCACCCGGTTCTCCTGACTTCTGGATCATATTCTGGGTGGCCTTCTTTCTGGCCGATGAGAGCATGGCCGATGAGGGCACCCGGTTCTCCGGGCTTCTGGATCATATTCTGAGTAGACCTTTTTCTGGCCGATGAGGGCATGGCCGATGAGAGCATGGCCGATGAGGGCATGGCCGACGAGGTCATCTGGCCGACGGGGGTCCCCCCAGGTGATCGTGGTACCTTCTGTTCTTCTGAGTATGTGGGTCCTGGGGCCTAGACCGATATACTCAATCAGGAGTCCCCCACTCTCTAAGCTGAGACATTGACGAAGTGAAGGAGAGTATATTTCTGTCCTTTTTTGTTTGGACATTGTGTGCTCCTCGATGTGGATGAAGGGGGCCCTAGTCATGTGGATGATGCATGTTTTCTGTTTGAAGGACGACGAGTGCCTTTACTTGG